ACTGCACTGACACTTACACACAAGAAAACAGATCCTGGTGTATACGGGATCCTAGTGTGTACATGTTTCGTTGTATCCCCGGGAAGCGGAAGAAACCATACACCACACCATCCCGACGTCGTCACCGACCCCGTAAAAAAATCTGGGGATTGACATACAGCCCGCCACTGGTACCCATCGGTCGGAAGAAGTAGGTAGAAACTAAACACATGAAGTAGGAAGGCGTTGACAAAAGATTGGGTTCCGTCCGCCCCCTGAGAAGGACGGAAAAGGTGAAGCCACTCGAACACTGAAGTAGGAAGGCGCTTGAAGCAGCTTGGAATCTGGGAGTCCCAAAAGACCTACTTTCAATTATCGACGGGCAATGTGCATGTTCCATGGATTTAGCGCGCGGTCGCCAAATCCATGGATCGTGGGAGGTGCCCTCCCCCAAATGCGGCCGGTGCCGCCTCGCTCCGCGGCGGAAATCCGCGACCTCCCCTGGAAGCGGGACCCGCCGCTCATCCACGCCCCCTTGATCCCTGTCTGCCCTCGCCTGAGCACTCACTGTGCGGACAGCTTGGGAAACCCGGCGAGGACGACGACGACGACGACGACGAGGAGGAGGAGGAGGAGGAGGAGGAGGAACAGGAGGAGGAGGAGGACGAGGACGAGGAGGAGGAGGAGGACGAGGATAATGATGATGATGAGGGGGATAAGGAGGACGACGAGGACGAGGAGGAGGAGGAGGACGAGGAGGAGGAGGACGAGGACGAGGAGGAGGACGAGGACGACGAGGACGAGGAGGAGGAGGAGGACGACGAGGACGAGGCAGGAGGAGGCCGCTCCGGCGACCTGCAGGCCCCGCTCCTCCGCGAACTCGTCCACGGCCCTCCGCACGCCGACCGCCGAGCCGTCCCCCAGGGTGCTGTAGTTCGCCCCGGCGAGCACGCCGCCGTCGGCCAGCAGCGGCCACCACGCCCGCAGGTCGTGGCGCACGGCGGCGTACGACGGGTTCGCGTCGTGGTAGACGAACCTCCGGGGGAGGCCGAGGCGGCGGTTCAAAAACAGGGCCAGGATCGGGATGAATCGCTCCAGAACGTTCCGGAGCGCTCCCAGAGCGTTCCGGAACGCTCTGGAGCGGCCGCGGCGCCCAATACATCCTCCAAACCCGCCGATTCTCAGAAAAGTCGAGTTATCCCGATCCGATGTTGTCCCGATCTTCGCGTCGTTTGAGCCATACCGCTGCCCTTCCCTCGTCACCACGGCCGGACTCGCCGCGAGGTCCTGGCCAGAGCCCCAGGGAGAGGTTCGCGGAGTAGCAATCTGGGTGTCTTCTTGGATCCCCAGAACCGCGGCTCAGGGCCCCACTGCTTCTCCCGCCAGACCTTCGGCAGGGCGAAGGAAAACTCCCGCACGAACGAGTATCGCCCCTGCACGTCGCGCCGGTCGTGCAGAAGCGTCCTCAAGCCGTCGTACTGCCGCTGGTGCTCGTCGTCCTCTGGCATGGAGAAAGCGGGTCCTTAGTAAAATGGGAGGTGGACCCTGGGGGCATTCCCCCCAGGACGAACACTCCAGAGTGGTCAGCTGGCGGTCCTGGGGCCCACAGAAGGCCCCTGGAAGCCGCAAACGGGCCAACACCTGGAGCAGGGAGGAGGAGTGAGTAGGAGGAGTGAGGGAGAAGGAGTGAGTAGGGAGGAGGAGGAGGAGGAGGAGGAGGAGGAGGAGGAGGAGGAGGAGGAGGAGGAGGAGGAGGAGGAGGAGGAGGAGGAGGAGGAGGAGGAGTAGGAGTAGGAGTAGGAGGAGAGGAGGAGGAGGAGGAGGAGGAGGAGGAGGAGGAGGAGGAGGAAGAGGAGGGGGTTCAGGACCCGTTTCCCTCGGAACCTTTTTACTTCACGGCGAGTCCTGCAGGTTCCCCGGGCGGTCGAAGCCCCTGCGCAGGTGGATGTAGGGGTCCACCAGGAAGAGCACGCCGCGCGGCCAGGTGTTCAGCAGCTCCAGCGCCAGGCGGCCCTCCCCCACCCCGAGCAGGACCCCGTAGGCGTTGCCGAAGTTCTGGTCCTGCCGTCGGCAGCTGCCTCTAGAACACCCCCCGAGAATGCAGAAGCATAAACTTTGCCGATCCGGGGAATCTGCTCGAACCTACGCAAGTTTACGTGTATACCGTGCCGTCTTCGGGGTCGCGGCGGCACCGAGGTCGATGAAATCACGCCTCCCTCCACTCCCTTCCACCCCTTCGTCATCCGCTGCTCCCACCTTCTTCTCCCTCGTTTCTCCCCCCCTGCTCCTGCTCATTCCCCTCCTCCTTGGTCGTCTCGGCTCAAGACATCAAGACTCCCACTGGCATCCTCACACGGGGTGCCACTCAAACATTGTTCACGGGTAGAATAAGATATATTCGCAAGGTAGGGGCCCCTTTGCCACTCGAAGCTTCCAATACTAGGCCCACCATAGTCGCATTTAATGCCCTTGCATTTGCTCCTGTTTCTAGTCCTCTTCCTCTGGCACGCCGACAATCTCAGCTCCCTCGTCGAGCCTCGCCCTGGGACGCGCAGGGAAAACGCGTGGTCTTAGTTACAAGATTAAACAAGCGGCCCTGACGGCGCCTCTAGCGCCGACCCTGGCGCGCTTCGCGCGCTGGGGAGGGGTTTCCAGCCTCGAAGGAGAAGAGAACCCAGAAGCCTCCAGGAGCAACCTGGCGGCCCCTCTGTCGCCGACAAGGAGCTGAAGCTCCAAGACAAGAAATATGCGTGGACCTTCGAACGATTATGTTCATGGCGACTGTTCTTCTTCGACTGCAAGAACCCGTAAGGTCTACGCTGGCCGCCTGGCGACGTGCTCCGAATTTACTGGCGCTTGGAAGGGACGAGGAGTGACGAGGAGGACGAGAATGAGGAGGAAGAGGCCGAAATCGAAAGGACACGGCGGGAGGTGCGAGGAGGGTGAGTCAAGGGCGGGGACCCCCCAGTCCAGGAACTGGCCCAGCAGCCTCTCGCTGAACCTCGGGGCCGCCCGTTTTGGGAGCACGCGCCGAGGGAAAGAGAGACAGCGCCCGCCCCGCCCTGCTCCACGCCGGGGGGAGGAAGACATCGGATTGCGGGGGGGGGGAGATGGGGATGAGCAGTAAGCAGGGAGGAGGGAGGAGGGAGGAGGAGGAGGAGGAGGAGGAGGAGGAGGAGGAGAGGAGGAGGAGGAGGAGGAGGAGGGAGGAAGGAGGAGGAGGAGGAGGAGGAGGAGGAGGAGGCGCCCACACGCGCGGCTGCTCCACGGCAGGTCGCGTGACCGCCTCTCCGCCTGCCCACTCCGCCCCGCTGCCAGCCGCATTCCTGCGCGTGGGCGGGCGGCGGCGCTCAGAGGCGGTGCCAATCCCCGTGCGAACGCCTCGGCTCCCCAGCTCGCCTCGACGATGCCGAGGAAAGCCGCACGGGCAGAATGTGCAGTCGCAGCGAGCAGACGCGGCGGGGGCCGTAGAGGAGGGGCAACACAGCGGCAGCCCCGATCCACGCAGCGCGAGCCACACTGAGGGGCGGACAGAGGGTCTGGGCTGGAGGAGCCCCTCGCAAATCTGCCCAGACGTTCAAGATCGGTCCCCCGACTTCTCCCGAAGTCCATCTGGTGCCATTTGTTCACCTTTAATATGTTTTTGAAGGTCCCGGGGCTGGGGCCCACGGGGCCCGAACCCAGAACCTTGAACCTCGCCCCCCCCCCCCCCCCTTCTTCTCGCCAGAACCAACGCTGAACCATCTCAGACACTCAGCCGACTCCAAGCGCGAACTACCATCGATGTTTTTGGTTCGCCCCTCCACCGCGCGGCGATGCGACATAGGCTGTTGAGCGAGCTGCGGGACGCGGAGACCTACTGCAGCAATCGCGCATGTCGGCCACGAGCGGGGCGAGGCCGTGCCCATCGTGGCGTCGAGGGCAGCAAAGGGCCGAGCGGTGCAAACAGGAGAACCGCGGGCACAAACCGAGGCCACGACAGACAGACAGACCCCACGAGCGGCGTAGGCGTCCGTCAAAAACATATGATTTGATTGTCCGCGATAACTCCCGTGACCGTCTCCGCCACCCCCCCCACCCCTGGTCACGTCACGATTCGCGCGAGCTCCGTCTGGGAATGAAAAACGTTGAAACATTACCACGACGGCCTTGGCGCGAATCGCGACGTGACCGGCGGCCCCCCCCTCCCTCTCCCCCGCGGTCACGCCCGCCATCGCCGCGAGATCCAAAAGTTGCCTCACAAGGGGAAGGCAACGAACATGGGAGAAATAAGAGCGCGCGCCTTCCGTGCACCTCCTGGGCCCGCGGTGCCAGCTCGACGGCCACTTCAGGGCCCCGTCAAGTCCCCGTTTTTCTGCAGCCCTCGACCCCCTGCGTCGATTGCCCCCCCCCCCCCCCGGGTGCCGCCCGCCAGGGTTTCCACATCCACGTCCTCGCGGCTAGGACTACGGGGCGGGACCCCGTGGATACGTCCTACGTCGATTGCCCCCCCCCCCAGGTGCCGCCCGCCAGGGTTTCCACATCCACGTCTTCGCGGTTAGGACTACGGGGCGCGGGCGCGACCCCGTGGATACGTCCTGCGTCGATTGCCCCCCCCCCCCCCCCCCCCCAGGTGCCGCCCGCCAGGGTTTCCACATCCACGTCCTCGCGGTTAGGACTACGGGGCGCGACCCCGTGGATACGTGGTCGCATGGATGCGCCCCACGCGGGGCACCCTCGAACAAATGCCCCGCAGCCACGGGGTCGCGGCCGAAGGGCCTGGCCCACGAGGCCGCGGATGCGGATGTGCTTTCCGCCAGCGACAAGCCCGCGCGTACGAACGACGACCGAGTCTGCAGTCGCCGCGAGGCGACCCTACAAAGGCGGCAACCGCGCCAAACGCGCAGGCCTCCAGGAGCACAAGCGGAAAGCGCGTTAGCGCCACATGATATTCACGTACTCACTTTCGTATGCCTGCCATGTCTCCGGCACTTGGGTCATCTCGCCCCGGGCATCTTCCAATGGAACGAACCGACCTGGCCAGCACCCAACACAGCAAGCAAGAAAACCCCGCGACCGGTTTGACCAATACCCATGACAACGCAATCCCCTTGTCCTTGTTTCGCCCACCTTTAAGGCTACAGTTTCGCAACCCTCCCAGTTCATCGCCACTTGCTCCTCAACATAAGCGGCTCCGCGCAGCATGCTACGCCTGCCGCCCGTGCTCTGCGGTGAAGCCTCCTCCATATGTAAGAGATGCTAAATTCCTCTGGTTTCCTGCCCGGCCCCGCCAGTCGCCGCAATGTTGATCTTCAGGCACTTCTTAATTTACGTTTTTGAGCATCAGTCAGTTCTCAAGGTTCAAATCACCTCAAGCATATTGTTTGATTATGTCGCATCGAACAGCTTCGATCACGTCGTTATGGATGTGCTCCTTTTGGCGCGTGACTCTGATAAGCTGACAAACGTCGCCAAACCTGCTCTCGGCCGTGTTTCAAGACTCCGTCGACGTCCCCCAAAATCCATTGTTATCATTGTGCCCAACAATTCTAAACCAGATATATAGAATTCGCAACCAAGTGAAATTGTCCTGCAAGCCTGTAGCAGCACACCGGCCAACGCGCCACGCACGGCACGCTGATTTTTCCGAAGCCGTACTCAAACCAAAGTCGGTAAATTCTTCCGGTATGCCCATCAACATGATAGAGAGCGTTTGCTTTGAGATTGCTAGAAACATAATGCCGTCGACGAGCATAGAATGTCTAATGCGGCACGGTTCCAGCAAAAACGCTCCCAACAACACATCCGTATGACTTCTTCTCCAACTTTCTCTCAACTTCAGCATGGCGTGCCGGTGACATTGGATCGCCTAGCATGACGCCGCGCACCCGCGCCCAGCGAGCTGAGAACAACAGGAAAGAACACTGCACCACCATCAAAGAAACCGGCGGCCGCGCGGTTTTCCTCGGACGAGCGGCAGGAGCAGGCGCCGAGCGGAGGTCTAGGGTCTAGGCAGCAAGCCGGCCCATCTACGGAGACATGAGCAGTGCCACGCAGAACTGCGTGGGAACAGCTGTGAGCCAGGGCCGAACAAAAACCATCGCTAAAATCAAAGCTTGCCAGCGTGGGCGACGCGACCCGCTGCGCCCGACACGTCGAGGCCCCACCCCAGCAGCGGGACTCGCACGGCGACGTGGCGCCTCTCCGCTGGCCGAGCAACGAGACAGCCGAGCGAACCTCCGAGGGCTGCTGCTTATGCTCCCAAGGCCCGCAAACATGGATTAGCGATCCATGGCTTTGGCGCCTCCTCCTCCTCCTCCTCCTGCTCCCGCCTCCTCCTCATCATCATCATCATCATCATCCGTATCATCCCTCCCCCCTGCTTCTCCTTATCCCCCAGTTTGGCGATCCATGGATGTGGCGCGAGGCCGTCGCATCTATGGATCGGGGGGGGGGGGCCTTCCCAAAATGCGGCCAGTGCCGCCTCGCTCGGCGGCGGAAATCCGCGAGTTCTCATGGAAGAAAGACCCGTCGCTACTCCACGCCCCATTGATCCATGTTTGCGATCGCCTCACTCATGGTGCTTTTCTTCCTCGGAGCGATCAGGCCATATCCTCTCCCACGCCCTCTCGGGTCGGACCAAAAGGCGGTGAGTACAGTGGAGGCCAGTCCACAAGAAGCCTTCCGCGAGGAATCCAACCCTGAGACCCCAGGGCGTCCAGCGATCTCTGGTGTGGGAGCGCCACGCTGTCCATGGCAACACCCTCGTAACCCAAGACACCCGGGGCACCCTGGAGGCAAGCAGGGTGTTTCTTGGCATGGGTCTCCAGTGTTAGTCGGGGATGGACAGACCTCCCTTTAGTAAAACGTGGTTTAGTGAAAACGACCTGAGGCCCAAACCTGGCGGGCGCAATCCTGGAAAATAGCGGCCGCGGCGCCCTCTCGAGAAACGAAAACGGACAATTCACTCATCGACGTGTCACCGTTGGGGGTTCTGTCCACCCCCGAGTTAGGGGGAGGAGGGCGAATCGGCTCAAGCAGCTGATTTCCTCTTTGCCTCCCGGCGCCGAATGGCGCCAAGAGGCCGAGGTAGCCGCCCCGGCGGCTGGGTGGGTGGCGGAGGCGAGGACTCGCAAAGCACGAATCACGCGCGCCTGCTGCTCCTCCTCCTCCGCCTCCTCCTCCTCCTCCTCCTCCTCCTCCTCCTCCTCCTCCCCCTTCTCAGTTCACCTACGGCCCCCCAAGGATGGGCTGGGGCGGCGTGGAGGCGGCCGCGTGCCGCTGGGAGCATCGGCACTCGCAGCCGGAGCGCAGCAGGGAGAGCACCGTGCGGCGGGCGCCGGCCGCGGACAGGGGAGATGGCACGATGCAGCAAGAGAGCTCTCGAGCTGTGATTGCGCCGCCTGGCTCCAGGACGTGTCTCAAGCGACTTCTAGATGCTTGCCTCGGCGACTACGGTTCACAACCATTTCACGCAATTATGCATACATGCATGCTTGCACAGCCGCAACAACTCCTGCAAAGTGTAACGAATGGTCCAGCAGGCGCCAAGGCAAAGAATCACACACGCATACTTACAAAATTAGCTGATAATCATAAAGATCGCCGTTCTCTGAGGCACCGCGCAGCCACTGGCCCTGGCAACGGGCACAACCCTCACACACACGAATACACGTACAGATCCTCAACCGCCTCCACAACCTCATCCTCCCCGAATCCCCCTGACACCCCTCTTCGTCGTCCTGACCACATCCCCTCCCTCCTGTCCTTCCTCTTCCTACTTCTCATCCTCCTCCGCCTACTCCACCTCCACCTCCCTCCCTCTTCCTCTCCCAACCTCCTCACATATATTTCGGTTCTTCCCGCAGACCTGTTCCCATCTTCAGGATGACAGCCTTCCCACCGCCATTCCTCCTCCGATCGTCCTCTTCATGATCCTTCCCTGCCCTCTCTAAGTCTTTCCTCCTTATTTCCCCGGCCCACCTCATCCTTGCGCCTACCTCGCCTTTCCAAACCCTCCCGCGCCCTCATCTTCCCAATTCCGCAGTCTCGTTCATGGCCGCCAGCGTGGACTGAAAGCAGTAGGTTGTTGCCCCTTTCGACACACACACACAGGATAAAGCCTTAACAACAAAACACCACGATGCACCATCCACAATTTAGTGTAAACCGAAGCGTAGCCACGTGTA